TATCATTTAATTATGGATATAAAAATTCTGTATGGCTTCCAAAATTCCTGCATCCATGGCTTGTGGAAACCAATGGCCATAGAGAGTAATCAGCAATAGTAAATTTACAGCTTCCATATATAGCTGGAGTCTCATAATCTACCAATGTGCTTGGATTTGTGCTCCCATCTTAATGGAGCTTTTCCAGTACTTTTTGACATATACTCTCAATCTACCAGCTACCACTGCCTGCTGCTGGCCTAGTATGTTTGTGGCTGATGCTTTTGAGCCTTTTATGCAATATTTTCTCTTGCTTTGATATTTTCCCCTTATCACTATCTTATTAAATAGTGTATGCATGTGTCATTTTTATCAGAAGTTTCAGCTGACTTAACTATGTTTATTTAGTACTTATGTGTATTTTTTTATTTTTTCACAAAAAGTATGACAAAATATGAAAAGTAAAAAAAAACTATTTCAACACATTTTACATGGGAAATATGTTTACGTTTCTCTTCTAAGCTATTCTGAGCCTAATCATGTAATATTAGTTATGATAATAATCATTATTATAAGGTAAATAAATGTTAAAATCTTTCACATAGAGATCTTATCTATAACTAAAATACATTTAATTTATTCCTTGTAATTACACAAGTTGCATTTCTATTGCTACTCTTCTTTGGTCTTTTCCAGTTAATCACAAGAAGAAATGAGCAACTTTCTAGTAGAAGACATACAAACTACACACAAATAGAAATAATGTTATTTAAGAGTAGACTTAGATTCATTAAAAATACATTATAAATAGAAGAAGAAAAATTAAATAAAAATATTTAAAACTGTATAATTTATATACTAAGAGAAAATGTAACATGGAACTATATGAAATACTCAAAAAAACCAAAGAATACAGAAAAATATGCTTCTGGCAATGAAAATAAAAGGGTCATAGACATATTTATTATTAATATAACTATAAAAATTATCAGCTAAAAGGAGAACAGTCTAAATGCACCAATTAAAAGACAGAGATTATTAATACTCAACAATATATTATCTATTAACAAAAAAATCCTTTCAATGTCAAAATTCAGATAGTTTAAAAGTAAAGGAATGAAGAAAATTATGCCCTGCTAAAACTAATCAAAAGAAAGCTGAAGTAGCCATATTAATTTCAAAAAAAAGCAGACTTCAGAACAAGAAAAATTATAAGAGATAAATAGAAGTGAAACATAATGATAAAAGAGTTAATTCTCCAAGAAGGTAAAACAATCTTAAATTTATATACACCTAACTACAGTGTTAAAATGCATAACACAAAATTTGAGAGAAGTTAAAGGAGAAATGGGCAAATCCACTGTTATAGTTGAAGTCTTCAAATTACCCCTATTAATAAGGATGTAGTTGACCTGAACGGCAATATGAATCAACTTTATCGAATTGATATTTGTGGGATCCTCCATCCAAAAAGAGATGAATATGCATTTTAATCAAACTCACATGGAATATCCATCAAATTAGATAACAGTCTGGGCCATAAATTTCACCTTAAAGATTAGACTATATTGTTTTAAACCACAGTGGTATTAAATTACAAACAAATACGAATAATATAATGAAAAAAACACATATCTTCAGGAAACCCATTTTAGATTGAAAAATACAAAAAGGTTAAAAGTAAAACAATGGAAAATTATACTTTCCAGCAAGCAACCACCACAAGAAAGCTGGAGTTGGCTGTGCTAACATCAGATAAAGTTCTTAACATAAAAAAGTTACCAAAGATAAAAAAGAATATTTAATAATTGTAAAAGTGTCAATTCATTAAGAACATATTATAATTATGAACATACTTTTATCTAAAAAGAGACAATATTTCATTAAGAAAACCTTATAGAATTGAAGGAAGAAAAGATATTTCCACAATAATAATTGGAGACTTCAATACCCATCTTTTAATAATACATAGAGCAACCATGTAGAAGTTTAAAAAGGCAATAGAAGGATTAAGATATATATATATATATATATATATATATATATATATATATCTCAATAAGATCTAGTAGATATTTATTGGACACTTGACCCAGCAATAGCAGAATACATATTCTTGCCAAATACTCATGGACTATTTCCTAGGACAGAGCCAATACCAAGCCATAAAACAAGTATTGTCAAATGTAAAGCAACAAATCATATCAAGAATGTATTTCAATTACAGTGAAATAAAATTAGACATCATTGACAAAAAATAAAGACCATTGAAATTTACAAATGTGTGGAAATTAAACAACAGACTCCTAAATATCCAATGGGTCACAAAGAAATCACAGAACTCTAAGTGTCCTCCAGTCTTTAAAGGAAGAGGCCATCCTGGCCCTTAGGGACACATCTGCTGGTTAGGCTACTTCCATTGCTTGACAATGCATCAACTCAGGAGCTAGTTTATCCTCCTCTTGGTATGTCCAGCACTGTGATTTGAGTGACAGATCCAGAGAAGTGAAGACCTAAGCAAAATGCAATAGCCAGATCCTACTGTCATCACTGTGCAGAAAACATCGAAAAATAAGCACAATCAATAAAAAACACCTTTAATCACACAATTATTGAAAAATAAGCACAATCAATAAAAAAACTTCAGAATTTTGGAATACAGATTCAAGTTTACAGCAATAAAGTCAATGCTGATTCAAGAAAAAGGCAACTTATAAAATGATAGGAAAAGATTTGTGTGTTTTTCCTTGCCCTTGCTCTGCCCCTTTCACACCATGGTAACAAACTATTATAAAGAAAAACTGTTAATTCATTAAACTGATATATAATAATTATAAACATATATTCACTAAGCAATATAGCCCCACACTATGTGAAACAAGGACTGACAAACTTGAAGGTAGAAATGAATAGTTCTATAAAAATTGATGGAGACATCAGTACACCGTTTTCAATAATGGCTAAAACATATAGACAGAAAATCAACAAGGAAATAAAGAACGTGAAAATATTACAAACCAACTGAGCCTAACACACACACATGCACACACACACAACACTCCATTCCACAATAGCAGATTACACATTCTTTTCACTTGAATACACACAGAACGTTCTACAAACTAGACCATATGTTAGGCCACTCAACAAGTCTTAACAAATTTTAAAACCTGTAATCATACAAAGCATCTTTTCCAATCACAACAGACTGAAATTAGAAATAAATAAATCTGTAGTATTCTATTACTTAAATATGCAAAACTACTCTCTGGTAATAGAAGCAGAATGTTGATTATCTTTGAAGATAATGATCACTAGGGAGTCAAAAGGAAAGTTTCTGAGGTGCTCATAGTGTTCTATTTCCTGATCTAAGATCATTACATGAATGTGCTTCCTTTGTATAAATTTACTGAGCTGTATATTCATAGTTTGTGAAATTTTCAAATATATATTTCCTGGATTACAAGAATTTAAAAAGGCACATTAGAGCCCAGTCTCGCATATGAATACAGATAAAAATATCCTAAATGGAGCATTAGGAAATAAAAAGCCATATGCAACAATAAAATTTGATGAGTTTTATATTTATTAATGTAAACTTAATTTAAAGTTATGAGATGCAAAATGTCAATCACCAATTAAACAAATTAAGATATTTTTAAACATGATTATCTAGGACAGAAAAATCATTAGATTCAATGAAGTGATGATTCACATCAAAGGCAAAAATTAAAATTCAGTGGATTAAAGGCTCAAATGTGTCAGGAAAAATGCTTTAACAATTTCAGAAGAATGTATAGGAAAGCATTTATAACATTTTTAGTAGAAGAATGGAATTTTTAAAACAGGACACAATACTAATTTTTTTTAAATGCTTATAGTATAATCACATCAAAATAAAGAACATCTATTTACCAAATATATCAGAAAGAAATTAAAATGTAAGTCACAATCTGGGCAAATACGAATACAACACAATAATTGATAAAAGACAATTTTCCATAAGAATATATAATCTTAAAAAAACAAATAAAATGAATAAAAATACATGGCTGATAAATGAAAAACAATACTTCACCAAATATTTGACAAGAGTGGAAATGAATAAATTTCCAGACCAATTTTTACTAGGCAAACACAATTTTTCCACACACACCAAAATTAAAGAATATTTCAATGATCCAAGATGGTATTGGACCTAGCAGCTATTCATTCCCTGTACTTGACTATGAGAGGCATAGGCTAAACTGATTTATCAGGTGTTAGGAGATGAACTGTTCTATATCTGAGCTGATAATAATGACATTGGGTTTTATATTCTAGAAGGTGATAGCAATTACAAAATAAACTGTGAAAAAATAAAAATAAAGGGTAAGTACATTCAGAAAAACAACATTGGTAATTGGTGGACCAAAACTGCAGTTAGTTCTAATTCAGACATTTCTACCATTAGCAGAGCTTCAACAATTGGAGTAAAGTGTTTAAGGTAACAAGCGATAATTCACAGTTTGAGGATTTAAAATCTTACCTATCCAATTATGGAGGCCTTAGACTTTTCATACGAAATATCATTAGGAGACAGGAATCTAATTCTGATTTTTGGTATATTTTAACTTGGTCTGTCTTAATGACTCAGACTTAGAAGTTGTGTCTGTTTAAGATTTTAAAAATGAATGGTTGACAAATTAGACTCAAGCATGTAGTCTAACGTCAAATTCTTTCACACATTCAAAGTTAATTATGTACTTCTAGATGCTTTCTTGTATAAGTTACTATTTTCTGCCTAATTTTAGAGTACTTAGCTTTATTTTGTGAATTATAAAGTTCCAAACTTTTAATTAATTTTAGAAAACATAAACTCTTTGCTAATGTGTGGAAAGTATTATTGGAATATATATTATATATTTATGAATACATGGAGAGTAATATATAGTATTAATCTATATACTGTCCATGCCGTATGCTTTATATACTTTATACTATATAATCTATACCCTATATGTCATATATGCACCCTATATATGTTATATACTATACCATTTTTCTATACACTATTTTATATATTTATATACATTATATTTTTCTGACAAATATCCATGATAAAGTTTCATATGACTATGTAAATCTGCCTCTTCTTAGAATTCTGATAAATGTCTTACTTCCTAAGCATGAGATGAACTATGTAAAAAAAAGACAATGTTATAACTGAGTAGTTTACACACAGTCCATATCTGCTATCCATTCTAATTAAAGATAAATGAGTCGTTTTTCATAATAGTAATTCTATTTACCCAATCCGCTTTAAAAGTAACAATCAGTCCATATTTTTCTAAAAAGTTTTATTAGGATAAAGGCTAAGTCTATATTACTGAAAAATATGCAATAGCTTAAACAAGACTGAAGTTCATCTCACACATATGGAACAACTTAAAAGCCCAAAAAGACTGGGGATGTGAGGCAACATCGCACTATGGTTTTTTTTGTTTGTTTTTTTTTTCAAGAATCCATTTCTTCCCATTTTAGTGCTCTAACATTCTGATGGATTTTTGTCTTCATCAGCATGATTAGTGCTGCTCCTCTACCACATTAACATTGAAGTCTGCAGAAAGAGAAAAGACAGGAAGACCAGAATAAGAAATCTCCTTTTAAAAAATCACAGCTCTTATTTCAGTTCATGTTTCATTGGTGAGAACTTACGTACAGAGTCATACATGGCTATACATGTGAGGATGAGAACAGTAGTTCACAGTTTTGCAGCCATGTGCAAGAAAAAGAGAGGAGAATGGATTCACAGGGACAACTGGCAGACTGGCAGAGTCCTTTCTATGGCTACCAAATATCAGCGCACACTTTTCCTCCAGCAAATAGAACTCACTCTCCCCTCCCTTCAACAGGGCAAAAGCAAAGTTTCTATTGCTAGTGGTATTTTCTTCTAAAGCTAAGAGTCTGTGGCTAATAGACATTTTGTTAGGTCTGATCAGGGATCCCACAACCTGGCAACTTACAAACTCATAAAACATTATCTGTCCTCTATATCCACCCTGTTCTTCACATAGACATATTCAGATATGTCCCAACATTTATGGGGGCAAAAGCAATACTATAAATGGAGGCTTTTATTACATATACCAACAGTATGGTGTGAAGGTTGGTGTACTTCCAAAATCCTTCGGTTGAAACCCAATCCCCAGTGTGATGGCATTATGAGGTGGGGCCTTTGGGAGGTGAGTAGATCCTGAGGGCAGAGTCCTCAGGATGAGTTTAGTGCTCTGACAAGAGACCACAAAGAGCTAGCTAGCTCCTTCTACCATATGAGGACAGAGTGAGAAGATGCCATTATGAGAACGTGGGTCCTCACCAGACACCAGATTTGCTGGCACCTTGATTATAGACTTCCCAGCATTCAGAACTGTGAAAAATAAATTTCTATTTTTTGCAAGCTACCTAGTTTATGACATTTCGTTATAGCAGCCCAAACAGACTAAAACTAATTAAATATTTAAAAATTATAAATCAAGCAAATACATTGTTAAATAAAGTGCCTTCTATACACTTACTTTGACAATTTACAAATTTTTGGATTCCTTGTTTTTTGCCATCTCAGAATATGACAATATGGGGAGAGATGCCTCTAACTCCTAGATCCTAGCCATGGCCCTTTTTTTCTCTTTACTGCTCTCTCTCATGGTCAATTGTGCAACACCCAAGCCTATGAGTTCAAACTACATCCACACCTTCCATGAAGAGCTGCCTCTTAGCTAGTTCTTCGGTTTAAGCTAAGGCCAGCAGGGGAGTCAGAAACTCTCCGGAGGATGAGGTGGCTAAAATGTCTGTTAAAAACCTGCAAGTAAATTAAGGGCTTTTGAGAAGAGTACTTTGAACTTTCAGGTATCCCGGGTGGCCTAGTAGTAGAACATGGCCTTGGACTTGACATCACTGCCACTTGGTCTATTCAACTTTCACCTCAAGGATTGGGGCAAGGCTGACAGGAAATAATTCAGGTTCGCCAAAACATGGAGTCCAAGGCAGCAGCCCCACTTGCTCCATCTAAAGTTCCTAATGGGAATAATATTATATATGATGGTAGAACAGGAACAAATAACTAGTTTAAAAAATTCATTCAGAAGATAGAATGGGAAACAGATCAGTCAGTCCACAGTAATGATGAGATCCTTCTGAGAAGAAATAATAAATGGAGATTTTGTTGAAAGTTGAATAAATTCATAATTTAAACTTAGATTCTGATCTGCAAAACAAACAAACAAAAAATCTTGTCCTCTGTCTTCCTTGGCATATGGCTTTGTGTTCTGGGAATAGCTTCATTGTGTTGGTTAGCTTCTGTGGCCACAACTGTGGAAATAATTTGTATTCTTCTTGGGGATTTTATAGTGTTACAAATGAATTTTGCAGTGTGGTTCTGAGAGCCTGAGAATTGTTTTTGAGATAAATAATCAGATATTTTAGGCCAATCTTGTGTTTTTTAAAAAATTTTTTCTCTCAAAAACTTATTAAACTCATGTTTTTGTTGCTTCTCTTCAGTTCTGGTATGCCAGGAACAAATCACAGTGTTCTCTTATGGACATACTTTTTAAGCCTGATTTATGATTTTCTGGGTGTTCATATCTCTCTGACTTATTTGAATGGTAGTAACTTGAAGATATCTGACACAATACACTGGAGTGAAAGACGACACTTCTAATATATTTGCTACAAGTTTAGATATCTTTTTCTGGCTGAGGAATCTTAATTAGAAGTCTAAAGAAATGTTTTTGGAGTGAAATTTTTGTCTTCCTATTTGAGATAATAAAAAAAATGAGTTGGATGTGTCAACCCTACAAAGCTCCATATTTCTAGAACTTTTTTCATCTTGTTTTGACAGTAAGTCAAATCTTGCCGGATGTTACCTCTTTATTGTAGTAATTTGGATAAAGTAACAAGAATCAGGCAATAGGCATTCACATTATGGGTTATCATAAGTATTTCCTCAGAGGTACAGGTTCAGTAGCCACGTGTTCTGCTTTAGAAGTAATCAAAGACAACATTTTACCAGCTATGATGACATTACAAGGGTCACCAACTGTCCTGGCTTTATGGGTCCATACTGTGTGACCACTACTCCAATACCACATAATTTAGATTTCTCTCATAGCAGCAATCCCAAACCACTTGCTATACTAGTATCTGTTTCAGTTATACTAATGTTCAGTTTGCAATAGCAAGAAGACCAAAAATAGAATGGCATGAATAAAAGAATAAGATTTTCTAGCCTCACCAGCAGCTAGGTGCAGCCATATTTACAAGACAATTGAGGAAATATGTTTTCAGATGACAAATGGCATAGTATTTGAACTTTAAGGACTAAAATGCCACTGTCAATCCAAAAAGCACTGGATTAAATGTCAACAATAGGCATCTAATCATTAAATTCAATATTTTTTTTTTGCTTTAATACCTTCCCCTAAACTCCTTTCCCACTCTTTCACTCCTGTTTATTATAATAGCTCAACATTGGACAATAACCCCTCATACCTTAAATTCCTGTTCTCTTTTAATTCATCGGAGTCAGTTCTTTAATTCTTCTTCTCTTTATTACTATTTTTGTCCTCTTTATTTTGTAAGCCCTAGAGCTCCTTGGCTATCTGCTTTTCTTATTCTATGTCCTGTGGTGAACCTTTAATTTGTATCTATATTTTTAAGATTTCTCTACCAAGCTCCACTCCCTATTTCAAACTGTATGTATAATATCTCCACATTATACCTCCATTTTTCTAGTTTAACACCCCATCTTTCCTCCCAATATCAAATAAAGAATAATGTCCATTCTTTCTACTTCAGATTCTGTGCTATTGCTCGTAGCATCACCTTTACTTTGCATAAAATCTTTCTTATTTTATCTCTTTTGTCAACATTTTTCAATGTTTATGTCAAATGCTAAAAGTAAAATCTCCATAGGAGCTCATTCTTATATGAAGATTTCATCCTTTAAGCTTCCTTGAAAATCTATATCTATTTTTCTGGGACTCATATTGTACTTAAACCAAAGTTCCTGTCCCTGTTCCCTTCTTCTAAGGTTGTCATCCCATATAATGTCCTGGAATAGCAGGATTTGTCTGACATTTCTCAAGGCACCTGCTATTTTGAGTTACATGCTCTTCTTCTCTGCTTCTATCTCTGTGATGAGTTACTCCATTCAAAGCAAATACTTTGAAAGAAATCTCAAAGAGATAATGATATCTATGAAAAGACATCAATAGATTCAAGGTGGGCAGGCTTACTTTCTTTTATACTCATATACTTTTAGTGTCCGTATAGCAATGTACAATTTTTCAAATGTACAACTGAGGATAATTAAGGGAAATTACATTATAAGATTAAAACATTTTAGAAGTATTCTAAAATGACTTCATATTACATACATAAGAGAAGTATGTACCAATAGACTAAAACATTTCATGTGATTGTCTGTGTTGCCAAGCCTCAGTTCCAAGACTTACTTTCCCTTTCTCAGCTTCTCCATCTTATGTTCAATTCATTTATTCTCTCTTAGGTGATGTCTTATCATTGGTTTGATTTGTCTATTCATTAGTTGTATATTTAATGCAATGACTGTATCTTTATTTATTGAATTCCCAGTTCTTCATATTCTTTTTTAATATCTTTTTTCCTCACAGGTTCCAGATCATTTTTCACTGTGAACACTTTATTCATGCTTATTTATCTATTATCTCTAGATCTTTGTCAGTTACTTAATATATACCATGGGATTTGTTTTCTGTTGTACTGAAGAGAACTAGAGTGCAAACTTTCTAGAAAATAGTTTATTTATGCTTTATAACCAGTATGGATTTCATAAATTAAGATCACATTTTAAAATTATTTCTGACTTGTAGTTTCTACAACTTAATGGCAATTTAAACATAGACTCATTTCCTTATAAGCTTCCTGTATCTTTACTTCATATACAAAACATTGAGGTAAAAATCTATGGTCTCCTTTTGAAGTTGAGCTAGCATTTCCTCAATAATGATTTTATGCTAGATTCTCAATTTCAGCCTCCTCTAGCTAAATGTGATGGTCTACGGCATGGTCATCTTTCTTACTGGGATTTATGAATGTATCACTTTTTGAACCAAAATTGAAAATATTTGAATCTAACAATTCAACTTTATCCTCTTTTTATTTTTAAGTTGGAATTGATCCCATTTTCATTTATTTTGAGCTTAATTACATATGTTAAAATATTCTTACTAGAGTGTCTGTCATTTTCTATACCAGGACCTACCCCCATTAGTTCAGTCCACTATGTTGACAAGGATCCCCTCCCTGCCATCTGAGGACTTCTTTCTTCAAACATATGACTATGAATCTTGGCTTTCCTTTCATGAAATGTACTCCTTACACACATGGATTTGTCTTATCCCAGGCTATAGGCACTTGCCTTTAGTAATATTTTCAGCAAATCTGAAATATACATTCTAAAATATCATGGTATGAGTTACAGTAGCACTAGGCTGCACTTGGTACTTTAAGATTCATAGAACATTTCAGGATGGAGAAGGGCATTCCAAGTCCTATTTATTCAAAGATTTCCCTGTTAGT